GGGAGGGCCTTTAAAAGGGGGCGGTAATAACTCTCACCTGCCACGTGTCACCTCACTAATCCCAAACTAATTACGCCCCTCGACGGAAAATGACGGAAATGCCCGCGCTAATTGTTCTAAGTCGAAAGTCAAAACCTCCAACGCTCAGCACATAAATCCCAGCTTAACCGCTGACACGGCCGGGAAAAAGCGCCCGTTGTTTCCTGCTTATTACGATCGTGCCATTGTGGGCGTCGTTCCCTCGAGATCTGGACCGTCCACTTGTCCTTGGGACTCGCGGGGCCGCCACGTGATCCTCGGGTACACGCGGTGACGGGAAAAGAGAGCCGCACATGGGAGCCTCAGATCCGGTTACCCCCCGATGAGTATAAGATCACCGGTGGCGGATGGGAGGGAAATAAGGAACATGGGATATTCATGAAGAATCTTTACAGGTGACAGTAACGTGACCCCCACAGCAAAACCCAAACTTAATATTAGACAAATATATGAGATTAGAGAAAAATAAAATGATTATATGCATGCATGTTTGAGAAAAAAATAAAATGATTGCATGCATGTTTGAGGTAGCTTCATTTTTAGGGCCGGTTTAGTTCTCAATGGCCAACATCGACTAGAATTGTAAGGCGAGTGTTTCCTGCATGCAACTACAGTTGTATCTGATGCTGTAAGCTATTGCAATTTTACATGATTAAACATATCTTATTCTAATACAAGATGACAGACTCTTTTATTGAAAAAATAGAAGAAGGAGAAGAAGATTGTTTCGCCTTATTGTCAGAGGGAGAAAATTAAACTTCTAATAATTGATCAAATGTAATAATCTAAAAATAAAACAGGAGACGTATTGTAAAGTGTTGGGTATTCGAAACAATCAAATCGAACCATTGCCCTTTCGTACCTTGTGTTTGAGAGTAGGAAAGTAGGAAAAATCATAGCAAAAATAAAGATAAAAACTTGCAGGAAAGTAAATAAGAAAGAGAACACTAGATTTAACGAGGTTCGGCAAGCGTGCCTACGTCCTCGGGAGCCCACACCACACAATTCTTTGATTAATATTGAAGAATATTACAATGCCCATAAATAGGATCTAATCTCTCTGAGATCTCTATGAGATCTCTCTGAAAAATTTTCTCAAAACCCTTTTTTTAATGTTTAATCTCTTCTAAGGCGTTCCATATATATATAGAAAACCTAAAACCAAAACAGACTAAGAATTCTAAAACCAAAAAACGAAACAGATTAGGAATCCTAATAAATTGTTACCAAAACAGATTAAGAATCATGTTACCAAAACAGATTAGAAAACCTGACATCCAACAATTTGTTTGATTTCAGCTTTGAGTCTACATCCCTCAGACTAACATAAAGTCAATGCCTAATATCTCTTACATGATGAACTGTTACCAAAACAGATTAAGAATCTTGTTACCAAAACAGATTAAGAATCCTGTTACAAAAACAGATTAGGAAACATGATATCCAACAATTTGTTTGATTTTAGCTTTGAGTCTACATATGTTACCAAAACAGATTAAGAATCATGTTACCAAAACAGACTAGGAAACCTGCTATCCAACAATTTGTTTGATTCCAGTTTTGAGTCTACATCCCTCGGACTAACACAAAGTTTATGCCTAGTATCTCTTACGTGATGAACTTTTTTCCAATACTGATATCCTTCTTTCGATAGCCAACTACCTACGCAAAAACAAGTGGTGACTTCCCTCAGTTCTCCAAAGCAGGAGCATTAATAGAACCATAGGCCATGTTACTTGGCCTCACTAACCAAGGACGAAATAAAGGAGGAGCCATGTCTTTGATGGACCTCTTTCCACTTTAATTGAAGCATGTTGGAAATGAACTTTAATACAACATGTGGTGCCTCTCTTCGCTTAACGTAATGGTGAGGATTAATTACAAGAGCGTTGGATATTTCCTTGAAGATTCAAGTGTCTTAATAATCTTTTGGCTGCTCAAATCTTTAGGGAAGATATTGGTATGTGTCCTTCTCCCAAAGAAAAAGAAGAAGAAGAAGAAGAAGCGACCAAGTCAAGTCCAAGTTTAATCAAAGAGGTTGAATTGGATCGGTTATATGTTGACTTGACCAAATAACTTTGGGTTCTCTGTATCAATTAATTTTCATAAATTCAGGAATAATTGCTTAGTCAAGCTGTGTACATTATTGCTTTGCTTAATTTGATCAACGTATGTTATGGGGAGTTGGGGGACGCATGTTTATAGCTAAGATTTTTTTTTTCTAGAAGTTTTCTTAATTAGAAAACTGTTTTCCATAGAGAGCGTATCTTACACACACACACCAAAAAAGCCCTACGGTGTGTTTGACAACTTTTTAAATCTGAGCCAGATTTAAACATAGCCCTACTTTAGAGCGCTTTATTGATTGGCGAAAATTAAATAAGGAATGACCTAGTTTGCTTTAGTTTATTTTTAGGTCTATAAACTGAAGAAAAAAAACTGTATTGTGTGTTTGGCAACACATCTTTAGTGGGTTGTCACACACCCTTTGATGTTCAATAAGCACCGATACAGCATAAACTACATGTAACGAGAAAGGAATAGATTAAAGAACTTTTCTTGTGCTACCAGATCTACTCATGTGGCGTACGCCACGTGTGCTCATGTAAGCATAGAAATCGTTGATTTAAGATATACTTTAAGAATATAAGGAGATATAAAGTTTCATCTTTCAAATTGCAGTAACCATTTTTTATTATCATAGAGAATAGGCTAAAACCATTGGGTTAATAGAGGCAAAAAATCATGGAAGGTTTCACCAATGACGTTGTCAAATGGCTGTAATTCTCACCATGGTGATCCCAATTACGTTTGAACCCTTAACACTCAAACTTTGGAAGTAACCTTTAATTTGATACTAAAGCTACAAATCTTAGAGTACGCATATTTAAAAAACCACATTATGAGACAAATAAAAACCGTAGAAAAAAGTAGTTGAACGCCATTTGCCAAAGGACCATTTCACCTGTCCTTCAGATAAAATTGATGACAAAGCCACGTCATTACCAGAAGATGCGAATAGTATATATATATATTGAGAGAGATAAAATAAAAGGAATAAAAATGAGGGAGAAAATGACAACACGATTCAGGGGCTTCGCAGTTCCATTGTCCGGAAAGGTGGGGTTCAGATCGTCATTTTGTGAAATAGATCAGGGTAAATTTGTAAAAAAAATTCATTTTCAAAGTGGAACCGTATGGTTACTTTCATCGGGAACTTTTTCATGTGGCTATATTGTTGGGGTGGATTTCCATGCCTCAAGGGCTCGAAGTACTTTGGGCCCCACTTAGTTGGGCTCATATCAAGCACTGTACAAATGACGGTGCTACTTTTGCGTGCGCCTCTAACCTGATGAGCCCGCTTTGCAAGTATACCCTCGTGCATATTTGCAAACTTATCCCTAAATCTATTTATTTGCAAACAGCCCGCCGCAAAGAGGGTTTTTGCAAGTATACCCTCGTGCATATTTGCAAACTTATCCCTAAATCTATTTATTTGCAAACTATCCCCTAAACATCATCTCTGGAAAAAAAAATACCATCGAACTCGACAAATCATCAACATAAGTCCTGTTAACAAAGTTGATGTACAAAACACCCACGCACAAAATAAAATAAAATAAAATAAAAGGAAAAGGAAAAGGAAAAGCAAATGGAAGGAAAACAAAAGATTTCTTTCGAGGAAAAACAAAAGATTATTCTTCAAAGCTGTGATATTACTCCCCCTTTCCTGGGAATCGTACAATCATAGCCTCTGTCAAACTAGGGGGGGGGGGGGGGGGGGGGAGTTAAAACGATGATATAAATACGGTTTAATAATGACGGATTTTCTCATAGTTTCTCCACGTTTGCATCCGATGGTTGATGACCAGCGAGCACGTGGGATGCACATGAACAGTCATGATATCTCATCAATGTTTTTGGAACTTTAGGGTTATTATAACCAATTGGGGAAAAGGACAGGAAAAAAAAAAAAGGAAAAGATGGGTAAAAGCTCTTTAAACCCAACAAATTTGAAGTAGTGGCAGTCCTCGGAAAGCACTGATGAAGTTTTTGGACGTTGGGAAAACAAAAAAAATCTAACTAAGAAAGCATTTTCTTTGATCCGAGGGTCTATTTATTGTTTTATTTTTCTTTTTTTTTTCTGGGAAATATTCTAGATGACTTGGAACAATGTCTTTGAATAGATTGGTTGAGTGGGGACGTGGATATTTCCGTTTCTTGTTTATTTATTTAAAAGTGATGATCAGTAACTGTGGACATAAAAAAACTAATAATAAATAAACAAATGAATAAATATATACGCAAACCATGTGGCCGTCCTCTTATCTCCTCTTCCATCTGTCCTCTTGCTTCCATAATTATGTTTCTTGCTTTTCAATTGTATAATTGTGCCTAGAGCTTTACTCTCATTCCAACATAGCCATCTATTCTTCTTTTTTTTTTTTTTTTTTTAAAATTAATAACGCACCCCCAATATTTTGGCCTCTTCTTCTCTCAAATTAGTGGAGACCATTCTTCCACATTGCTCACAAGAGACAACACAAAGACATGGGAGGCCTATCTTATACATTAATGTCAGTGCGCTAAGCCTCAAAACAAAGCAATCAAGCAACAAACTACCGAACAAATCTGGAACTTTTTTTTTTTTTTGAAGTTAAAACAGAGGGAAAACTGACCATTTCACTTTGGAAAGAGCAGATGACCTCCTTGCGCATCGTTTATTCTATTTAACCCCCTAAAGTTTGGGTGTCTCACATCACCACCTTGGAACTTCAAGTTTTCTCCACTCGCAGAGAAAGTCTTAAGAACGCTTGGCAGAAAAACTAAAGGAAAACACTAGAGGCACACCTTGTGTCACACCTTAGGGCGCACCTCCCTCTCTCAGCTACAGTGCAGGAGGGCCACTTGAGATTTTTAAATAAATCTCAAATGGGCCCCATGCACTGTAGCTGAGAGAGGGGTATGCCCCAAGGTGTGGCAAAAAGTGTGCCTCTAGTACCACCCGAAACTAAACGGGAATTGGGTTGGGTTAAGTTCGGGGTTTGGGGTTAGGGTTAGGGATACGTGTCCCCCAACCATACATGGCGAGTGGGAGAAGAGTGTTGCACTTGCATTTGGCGAGTGTCACTAGAACTTCTCTCAATTATTTAAGAGAAAAATGACCACAGAGTTCTTTCCCAGAAAGGGTAACCTCTAAAATATTATGTGACGTGGGGGAGCGTTTTCGTCCTTTTCCATCGTGCACCTGGGATGTGAGACCTCAAAGTTGATTGCGTTAATTTGAGGGGTTAAGAGCGTCTCCAACCCAAAAAAACCCAAAGTAGTGTAGTTTTTACACTAAATTGGTGTAGTTTTTACACCAAATCACTATTTCATCTCCAACCCATTATACCAAATTTTACCAAATCACTATTTCTTCTAAAAAATTTTCCTATTTAAAATATTTAACAAATTATATATTATATAATTATAGAATACATTTACAATATAATTAACTATAATAATATATTTTATGAATAAAATACAAATATAAAAATAATGCTTAATCAAGTTAAAATATTACTTTCATAAATTTATGTGTAATTTTTTATTATAATACAACATAAATTTATTATTATAAAATATATTATTAAAATATTACTTTATGTTGTATTATTATTTATTATAAAAATAATATAAATTTATTATGAATTAGCACATATATTTATGTGTAATTATTTTTATTATAAAAATAATACAACTTATACTATTTATGTGTATTATTCTTTTTATCTAAATAATTAAAAAATTAAAAGGCTAAAAAAAGCAAAAAAAAAATGTTACGCCAAAGCTACAGTGTTGCACCAAATCTGGCGCAACAACATTTGGCGCAACACTGTAGCAATTATCAAATTGGCGGCATTTTTAGAGTTCGGTTGGAGGGGCCAAATCGCATCAAACTGGGTTTTTAGAGTTTGGTTAGAGATGCTCTAAGCGAGACAAGTTCAAGCAAATTATGTGCAAAACACCCCAAAGTTCAGGAGGGTTAAGTGATATTAACCCAAATCTTGTTGATCTATGTTTATCACTTTGCCAATTGCCATAACAATATTTACCGGAAAACAAAAACAGAACAAGCTTAAAAATAACATCCAACAGAGGCACTGCCATATGGAGAGTTAAATCAAAAGGGGTTTATATGGCACATGATGCCCCAAAGTTTTCAAGGAAATGCTCTTCACTGGACCCAACCTACATAGAGCAATCTAGTCCTTTAATAAATTTGAGTAATTAATACTAAGATGGTGACACATGGTACGATAAGAGGCAATTACCCCAATCATCAGTCCTTCAGACACATGGTGTAGGAGTGGATAATTTCCTTTTGAGCACAAGATATCAAACCCAGACTCTGACATTTGTCAAACATCTTTTTCTTATAGCTTGTTTAGTTAGCTATATATTTAATACGTCAAGCAACATTATCACCGAAACGATGATGGCACATGGTACCTCTGAAATGTGTAGTATGAACAACATAACCCATGTGTTTAAGATTGGGAAGTCTAATTTCTGTCAAAACTCGTGTTATTAATGTCTTTGCATAAATTTAAAAAAAAAAGTTTAAAAGAGAGGAAGAAGTATGAAATCATCCTACTGTTCCATAAAAGCTAAAGAATGGACCTGTGGATCTCAGCCCCACTACCGTCAAATCCTAAGTCTTTATCATATGATTGCATTCACTCTTGGATCCATTTCTTTGTTCTGTTAAAAGGGTTACAATCCCCTTCAATGTCCATTCAAGGTAACTTTTTATCCCCATGCTTCCAGTGGTACAAGATCATCTCCCTGCCTAAGATATTCCCAACAGATTCTAGATTTGGTAATTCCTTTTATATCAGATTATAATCAACTACCAAACTGGTTAACGATTGTCAGAGAGATGCACTTCAACAATCACTATATTATGCCTGTTGATTACTGATCAAGAAGCAAAATCACACCAATCATACCGACTAATGATTGAAATAGTTCGACTAATAACACATTCTTCTCTTTTACTAATGTACTTGGTTGATTAGGAACAAGTAATATTTAATGGAATCATAAGAAAACGCCAAGAAGTTTAGACGAGAGTTCTTTCTTTTTTTGTAACTATGGAATACAGCAGAGCAAGCACTGCTTGATCTCATGTGAAAGCCGGCCATTAGGGCCCAAAACAGATAATGGATTCCCTATTTGTTTGATGACCTGATCCCTTCCTAACAGCCAACACTATATTAATATCTGTAACAAGTACATGAGCTTCACCTAAAGTCCTGCAACCAACAATCAAAGCTCCCTTGCAATTAAAATCTTTAGACTATTTGAGTACACGTGTGATAGGTCTCAGAATGGTGGATCAGAGCAAATGATTGTGTTAATTATATTATATTTTGATACCTGACAATGTTTATACTCAATCAGCCTAACAAATTTGTGCATGAAGCTGGTTTTTTAGGGTTAATTGCAGATAAACCCCTGTACTGTTGCCTGGTTGCGAATAGACCCCGTAGTTCTATTGTTGCAGACAGACCCACTGAGCGAATACTTGTGACTCTTTGTCCCTCGGAGAAAGGGAAACATGTATTTGAAAAATAGATCCCCTGAGGGTGAACGATTCAAAATGAATTCCACTCAGGGGTTCTATCTGCAATTGGACAATAGTATAGGAGTCAATCCGCAATTGACCTTGTTTTATAATAACATAAACAATGTAAATAGATAGGGGTCACAAATGCTTTTTTAGGGGAGATATGTCTTGTAGCTAGGCACATAGGGGGCTACCCAGATGATGAGCACTCTTGGGGATTATATAATGTGAGGGTCTCAAGCAACTTCAAGGCGATTAGACCTGTTCAAGTTGCACAATGGATTCAAGACAAGTTCCACTAACCAGTTAAAAGACAGCTTAGACTGGGGCCACTCACCGACCCCGCACATAATAAGACACGAGCTGTGGACCCAAAATGGTAGAAGAGGAACAATTGCATGCCTGTTCTGTAAACAGAAATTTGTAATGATGCTCATGTCGTCAAACACCAAAAGAGATCAAAACGGTTAGAAGAGGTGGGGTCTAAATGTATAGCCACACAATGAAATTTCAAATCAAATAATTGAAATGTTGCATTAATCAAAGATATGCTTATGAAACAGAACAATTTACACATTCATGTTACACTTAGGTAAGATCTAATTGCTTAGGAGAAGCTGTGATGTACCTGAGGGGACTTTGGGCGTTATCTTATAAGTGAGAGAGGTTTTTGCTGGTTCAGAATCTTGTATTCCTTGCTGGAATGATACATTAAAAGCCAGAGCCTGGTACAGGCAAACCTCATCCTCCTTGCAGTAATAAACCTACCAAATGCAGAAATAACAATTAAATCTCTTAATAAATTTTCTTATTTCACAAGTAGCTCTTGTGATAATAGCTCTCACTCTATCATATAATCTATAATTTAAGCCTACTGATGTTCATGAGTCCATGAATGCAATGCAACCAGAAACATATTAAACAAAAGGTTGTATGATGCTGACGCCTGATTTTTTAGATTTTATAGTGTAGGTTGCCGTTTGATGCCCTGTCTCACGAATATAGTAGATGTATAAGTTGGAGACAAACTTAAGAAGCAAAGTACATATTCTTCCAGAAGACATTTGATAAACCTTTTGAGTTTCAATAATGAAGAACCAAATCAATGGGAGAATGATTAGTTGCCGACACATGGTGACTAGTGACCTTAAATTAAAACACAATAATTAGTAATGCAGCTGCAGTTGTGCAGGAAGATTTTCACATATTTACCTTACAAATGTAGCATTTGTTTCATGAACATATGCACATATCTATATCTTTGGTTAATTCTTGGAACGATGAATGCAAAGTCTAATTACAGTACTATTATGATGGCTACTTGATGCGTCACAAACTCATATCTTCTTTAATCTATCAATAAAAATTTAAGCTTCTGAAGACAGATTTATCTTCTTAAAACAGTCTCCTGGTATGGATAATGGTCCCTAAGCTCTAAGATGGGCCCACAATCTTTTAACAGAGGGCGATATACTAATACCTTGCAGTTTATTCTCCCTGTTGCCGGCATTGAGGAAGTTCTCTTGAAATGAAGTGACGTTGATCCTTCAGTGCTTATAACACCAATTGAGGGTTCAATATTAACTGCATCTACAGGATCAACTTCAACATCAAATTTACTCTGGGCTTCCTGTGAATGGAGAAATAATAAGAGACATCCCGCATGATGATGTATAGATATTTATTTGTAATTATAAGACCTCGTAATGATTTTCTGAAATGTGGATAGATGATAAAATTGTGATCGCCTATACGGAAACATTGATTTGTCTGTAAGGCCTGATAGTGAAATGTCCAGTGGATGGATTATGATAAAATTGTGAAGTAACAAAGTTAAAACTTGCAGTAGGCTGTAGAACGGAAGTACAATGTCTTGACTCATGAGAAGGGCTTTCTCCCAAAAAATCGGTACAAATAATCAAGGCTGTGCACACAAAAAATAATAAATGTTGACTAGATTTCAAGTAACAACACATTCGTTCTAAATTTGAGAAGTTTATCTGCTAAGTTAATCCTCAACTACACTTTTCATTAAAAGGGAAAAAGAAAGCAACTACATTTACACATGCTTAACTGAGAAGATGAGGGTAGCCAAGGAACTTCCAATTCCATCTTTAGTTAAACCTTAATTAGTTGCAGCCTTTTCCATTAGCAAAATGCGCCTTCCAGTGTAATAGTAAATGTGATTCTGGAAACTATTTATGAACTAATGGTAACGACTATATTCCAAAATTTAAGCTATTAGCAGTACTACATGTACATGAGACACTGTATCAAGTGTCCAAGTGCTATAAAGAGTCAACAGACTCAACACAACTTCAAAGTAGCAAGACATGCAAGCATAATTACACACACAGAAATTTACATACATACATCCAACTGAGCTTGACTACTATTAGTAGTATCCGAAATATAGATACTTTATATCTAATCTAAAGTACTAACTAAAAATATGCACGGTTAGATGTCATCTACTACAAATCAATTATATAGAAATATAATCTCAGATGATTTAGACATTTAACCGCGTAGCTTATGGTATCAAAATCAACGCACCAAAATTTTCACAAAATTGAATAATTTTGTACCCCTGGATACATGATTAAGAACACATCTAAATCAATTACGACTTGTTTCCAGATAGTTCATGTGTATTCCATAACATTCAATTGTACACATTTTCAATTTGAAAATCCAAGTTATAAATTCAGATCTATAGTATTATCAGCATATTGGATACTATTGATAATATCCTACTATTGATAATATCCTAGCTCAACTACCTAATATATGTATGGAATAAAACTAGAATAAACTTGAGTGTATAAGAAATTTTGTCTACCAACTTTTTTATCCATCGGTTTTGCCCTATGATTCATGCTAGCGCGTGATGCACATCAAGGCATACATCTCAAAGATAGCCTTGATGTGTAGCACAAATCTCAAAACAAATATAAGAGAAAAAAGTTGGTGAGCATCTGCTTAAGTTTATTCAAGTTTTACTCTATATGCATGTGCGTATATTTACACACACACGTGTGTGTGCGCGCGCGCACATGTATCTGTATATATGTGTGCGCGCGTATATACACACACACACACATTCACATATATGCATATATATGTATAAACATGTGTGTGTATACGTATGTATGTATGTATTATGTGTGTGTATGAAAGTTGGTAAGCAACTGCTTAAGTTTATTCCAGCTTTACTCTCTCTCTCTCTCTCTATATATATATATATATATATATTTTGTTGTGACTGATGCTTTGAGAAACCAAACCAACGAACGCCGAGAGAAAGACCAAACAAAACACAAACACCAAGGTTTTACGTGGTTCGGCAAATTGCCTACGTCCACGGGGCAAGAAGGGGGTGGGTTTTCACTAATAGAGAAGGAGAGTACAAATTGAGATTACAAATCGCTCAAACGAACCAACTAATCTCACCAACAAATCTCTCAATCTCTCAACCAATAACCCTAACAAATAGCTCAGAAAGATCTCTCTTTTTCTGTGCTCCAAAACCCCAAAACTCTCCTCACAAAACCCTCAAATCGTATTGGTATTTATACCAAAACAGAAACCCAAACAGACTGCAAATAGGAACCTGAACTTTCCAAAAAACCCGTCATAAGTCGACTTATCAGTCTGCATAAGTCGACTTGGCAGAGCGAAAAACAGCAACTGGAGAAGAGATCATAAGTCGACTTATCAGACCTGATAAGTCGACTTGGCAGAGCAAAAAACCAACAATCCAGAGCAGAACGTAAGTCGACTCATGCACCAACATAAGTCGACTTACCATAAGTCGACTTATGCCTGTGCATGAGTCGACTTATGACCAAAAATCTGCTTTTTCCAATTCTTCTCCACAATTCTCCACCTCGGCGAAGTTTTCCCAAAACTGAGCCGACACCAACCAAACAAATGCCTCACATGCTGAGACCCAAATGAGAGTGTGAACACTCACCCCAAATGTCGATGTCGCTCACCAAATCGGCTGCATCAAAATGACTGCCTACGTATCCTTTGCCCAAGGAATCAAGCCTTCACGTAGTTCACCCAAACGGCCTCCAAAGGCCCTCAATGTACACATACATACATATATATATATATGTATGTATGTATATATATACACACGCACATTATATAGGAAATAATAAGTATGAGGTGCCAGCTCATTTTATAAAATGAACTACATGATATAGTCATGTGGTGAGGCTCATCTTACTAGTCACATCAAAATGTGTGAATCTCACCACTCTATCTCTTGGTAGCTCATTTTGCAAAATGAGTCGTTACTCATACCAATCATTCACACACACATATATGTGTGTGTACATATACATATATATACACATACAGATATGCATACAGAGTAAAGCTAAAATAAACTTAAAGCAGTTGCTCACCAACTTTTTATCCCTTGATTTTGCTTTGAGATTTGTGATATATATATATATATATATATATATATATGAGAAAAATGGGTATGCTGGTACCAAACAGTACTCATTTTACCGTGGTAGTGATTTTGGCATGATATTATCTTTGATTGGAATAGATTTTATGGGGATGATGATGAATATTTTTGCAAAAAAAACACTCCTCTCACTCTCTTTCCTCATCTCACTCCTAACCATCTCAGATCTCCCACCTTCCGTGCCCGCTACCGCCCGCCCTATTCTTTCGACACCCTCGATCATCTTCACCTACGACCTACGTCGGCCCCACCTCTTCAAACCGCTCGATAGCACCATGCCCGTCTTTCGCCGTCACACCCCACCCTTCGAATACGCCCTCAACAACCTTTCACCAATCCGCCCCCAACCCTCGAGCAGCCCCTCGACACACCCCACGCCCGCCTTCGACCGTCAACACCGACGGTGTCGGAGGGTGGAACGGCGGTGGTGAGGCGGTACGGTCGGGAAACAGGTAGCGTGGATGGTGGCATAGTGCAAGCGACGGGGCGACGATGGTGGGGCGACGCGGTGACGATGGGGGGCAGATCTGAGATGGGGGGAGAGAGGATGAGATGAGGATTTTTTTTGCAAAATAGTTCACCCACTCATCTCCTCAACCTATTCCAATCCAAAAGCTCATATTATGTCACATCACTACCAAATATACCAAGTTTCTCCATTTAACTTAGCAGTGAGGTGGAACAAGAAGAGCTGTAGATCTAGCCTTAAGATCAGATCTAAAGTACTTGGTTATTTATGCAAAAAAAAAACTCTTTTTGAAAGTGTGATTGGAACAAATATCTCTCTCCTCTCTCCCCTTGTCATTGTCTAATTATTTTCTCTCTCCTCCCCCTTCTCAATCTCTCGACTTCATCTCCTCTTCCGACCCTGTCGCCACCGTCGCTATTCCCCTGTCGCCGCTACCACGTTGTCGCCATCGACCCTATCCACAACGGGTCTCA